TTTTAGTTATGTTAATTTTATAATTTTTCTGTGGGTTTTTATTCTGGGACTGATTGATCTTGGAAGATGTGGGCTGATTAATTTTAAAGAACATGCCATTCCTTTGCTGGTCCTACAGAGCCAGATCCTATAACCTTTTTTTTTTTTTTTTTAATAATTTTTAAAATTTATTTTTGAGAGAGAGAGAGATGGAGCACGAGCAGGGAAAGGGCAGAGAAAGAGGGAGACACAGAATTCGAACAGAGCCTGATGAGGGGCTCGAATCCATGAACCGCAAGATTATGACCTTAGCTGAAGTTGGATGCCTAACCGACTGAGCCACCCAGGCACACCTTATAACCTAATTTTGTTGCAGCATTTTTCATACATTGGTCTGTTTACCTTTGTTTGATTGAATTGTCAGTGAATTTAAGTCAAATAACTTTTCATGTGTCTGAGTAAAAAAAATAATAATAATTTTGATTAATTCAACTGGTATGGTACTGGATAATACTCTCAGGTGTAACTGGGATTTGCCAGGTAAAAAGGTAATATCTTCTCATTTTGGTACCAGTTTACAGTCACATAATGGAAGGTTCGGTAGTAGTTAATTAAAACAAAAGATTAAACTAGTCTTTAAAAATGGATATTTGCATTCTAAGTGTATATTCATTTATATATTTTCATGGTGAAATCTAACAGATATTTGCATATCTCATTTTATCAGCCCTCTCTCCACTAGCAAAGATACAGTGAATAATGAATTGCCCTTCCTTTTTTGTTCAGCTGTTAATGGGTAGATCTAATTCTATGCAGAATTATGCTGGGAAGAAAGATGATTACTCAGAACATTTCCCAGTCCTCTTGGATCCTCCCAGTTAGCTTATCTGAAGTCTGCCTGTCTCTCCTCACATTGTTACTGTCATCAGTGGAAGGAAAGAAAATTTGGGTAACAGTTTAAAAATATTTTAAGGAGTCATTTTTTAAAAACTCAGTAATCATATGCACTCCTCTGTGCTCAGATGGTGGAGTGGGCAGGGCTTGCCCTATGACTTATTTATGAACCCATAGCTGCTTTTGAAAATTACCACTATTCAGATGTTTTCCCCTCCTCCAGCCTCTAAGCAGCCAAGGAAGGCAACAGAAAACTCCTTGCCTAGTCCTATTCCAGCCAGAGACAAAGACCTTTTCTATGAGAGTTGGCTCCCCTGGTTGGAGTCCAAAATGCTAATTGGCATCAGCTGCATTAAATCGCTGAGTGGAGCCTAGCAGCTGCCTCATCATGGAGAAAACCAGGAGGGAGCCTTCCTTTTCTCACCAAAACGTACCCTCTCTTCTCTGTAGTTACCTTTTTTTTTTTCTTTCATCTGTGTATGATTGTGGGCTCCTAAAGAGGAGAATGAAGGGCAAGGTCATTTGGACTTGGTCTAGACAGATGGGATATATAATCTTAGGTCCTGTCGTTTTGTCCATTCCACTTTCTTTCATATACAGGGTGGTTGTTAACTTTCAGCTTTAGCCTGCCCCGACTGTTTTCTACTGTATTTTTCTCAGGCTAAATGGGGCATGTGGTGGTGGGAGTGTGTACATATTTAAATGTTGGAATGAGACCACCAAACTTGTATTTAACTAATGACCAAAGGGAAATTTGAATTCAAAGTTGGTTCATTATTACTCCAAAGACAACATGTGTTATTATACACATTAGTCATAGTTAGGATTCCAGTTGTAGTTGGCTCAAAGCCATTGGCAGATTCTACATTTCTGATGCTTTTTCTCCAAGGTGGGCATTCTTAATTAGTATATGACAGTTACTGGTGGTAAAATGCCCTTTTTATTTTATAAGATGTATGATGGTCATCTATTTTGAAATCATAGAAGCAAGAGAAGGAAGGTCCAAAGTATATATAAACAATTTCCTAAAATACTAGTTTGAGAGGCCAGTATGGTTTCCTCTCAAAATTTTTGGTAGTTCAGTTTCATATGCTTCCAGGATTTGACTACTTAAACCTTGGAAATACTCTGGCAAGTGGCATTGATCTGATTACTGTATTTATGGATAATACTTGGATGTTTCAGTTATATTAGAAAAGCTGTTGCTAAACTTGATTGTATTTAAGTTCTTATATCATATTTCATTGTTTCTAATACGTGGCCCAATTTCAAAAATGTATGTCTATGGTTGATGGTGAATCATACTTTCATTACATGAAGTACTTCAGTGTCTCTACCTAGTGGCATCTTGGATTTAAGTAAATATATTGTGCTGTGACAGTCTGCCAACAGTATTTACCATTATGCATATTAAGTGTCTTTCACATCAGTGGACAGCACTGAATTTAAGCCTATGAGAATTTTTAAATATATAGAATGCATAAGAATTTCAATTCCATGAGCTCTGAAAACATCAAGTGCTTCTGGAAGCTCTTAATTCTTCTTATAAAGAATGGTGAAAAGGGGCACCTGGGTGGCTCATTCGGTTAAGCATCCAGCTCTTGATTTCAGCTCAGGTAGTGATCTCAAATGTTGTGAAATTGAGCCTGCTTTGGTCTTCATACTGAGGGTGGAGTCTGCTTGGGATTCTCCTCCCTCCTCACTCTCGCTTTCTGTCTCTGTCTCTCTCAAAATAAATAAATTAACCTTAAAAAAAAAAAAAAAAAAAAAGAGTGGTGAGCAAGTCAGATCCTAGAAGACACTGGTTTATGTTGCTAAAGAAAAAATATATTGAAACTCATCAAAATATGTTGTGATCCTTAATTATTGCACAGGAAGCTTCTCATGGGAGAATTGTAGGTAACATTTGCTTTCTGTCAAGAAGTGAAACTTACTGGCAGAGTATCACACAGAATAATGACTCTTAGAATAATTTAGCCAATATGGGGAGTGGAAGGGAGGTAGGTAGGGATGAATCAATAAAAGCAAAGTCTGTGCAACCCAACAAGATGCACACACTGCATGTCATGATTGGCTACAAATACAAAATTAAAATCAATATTTTGATTTTCTCCTATTTTAGTTCACCATTGTTCTTTTTGTTTTTGTGTAGTCTTTATATCCCAGATCTTTGTACATTGATGATTTTGGATAAAAGGAAAAAAAAAAATCAAACCTTTAGCTGACTTTCTAATCATCTAATTGTGGTCCAGTGTATGGAAAGTGGGATATTTAGCTTTTCAGGGCACAACATGTTTAACCATAGGCCTTGTTCTAGGAGTGACAGTCACTGCATGCCTTTCCAATCAGGAGCACATTATTGGCCATAGGGTCATGTGCCACTTTTTGTTAGGAACCTATTGGTCTTGACAGGTCCCATTAGGGTTGTCCTGGGCTGCTCCCAGATACTGTTGGGAGTGAGCTGTAAGTTGTGGTGATGCTGGAGAGAGAGGCTTCATGTGTTGTGTGCCAGCAAGTTGTGGTCATTACACACTCTGCGTGTGTATGTGAGCATGTGGAAAGAGCAAGAAGATAAAGCTTTTAATGAATTGGGCCTTCTAGCTGTGTTTTGGACATGCTTCCTTCCTTACATTAATAAAAATTGTCACCCTTTTATGTTTTAGTATAAAGTTTCTTTGAAGAAAAGTCCCAAGTAGGAGTGTGTTCTTGTGTATACTAGCCAGGCTTAACACTGCTTTTGTTTAGGATTAAGATAGTTATCCTGGTTATTCAGTATCTCAGTTTTCATTGCTACTCTCAACATGGCCATGTTTAAATCACAGATTGAAGTGATATATTTGGTGTGTTTTCATATATACAGGGTTTGAATGAGAATTAGTACACAGATTATTGTATGGACTGTACTTGGCCATGTGACTCTGCTCCGTGTTTGCAGTCACCATCTGCTAAAATCACATGACAACTATGCCTATTAATATACTGTAATATTCTAATGTACTTATGTCTGGGGACCAAGCTGGAGGCCACCATCTGAAAAATCACTGTACTGAGGGACACCTGATTTGATTCAGTAGGTTGAGCGACTGACTTCAGCTCAGGTCATGATCTCCCAGTTCATGAGTTCGAGCCCCACGTCGGGCTCTGTGCTGACAGCTCAGAGCCTGGAACCTATTTCAGATTCTGTGTCTCCCCCCTCTCTACCTCTCCCCTGCTCACACTCTGTGTCTCTCTGTCTCTCAATAATAAATAAACGTTAAGAAAAATTTTTTTAAAAAATAAAAAAAAAATCACTGTACTGAGTTTGTTTTGTTACATGTTTGGTTTCTAAAGCAGTAGTGTACAGTTGAAAGTTGTATTTTAAGAAATTTTGTTTTTTCATTTGGTGTCATCACTAATATCTAATTAATAATGTTGTAGCTTTTATCTTAACAGTATTTTCAAACCAAACTTTAGATCCGTGAGGCCTTATAAATGGGTTTTGGAGATGCTAGGCTGTCACAGTAGGTTTCTTCAGCCTGTGTGCATGCATGTTCTTTCACATGCACTATCTTTCTCTTACACACCTTGACTACTTAGAAACGCTGAGTCTTCCCTGGAGAAGGAAGAACATCAGTTGTAAGTGGATTGAGCATGTCAGTAAATATATGTAATAAAGGGAATTCTAGAGATCTGATTATCCAGTGTTTTTCTAAGATCATTATCCTCCCCCAGATGCTGTTTTTCTAGCCAGGGTGGTTTTTCTCTTTTCCCCCACCTTCTCTCCTCTTCATCACTTTAATTCTGCTTTCCTCTCATTCTCATGCTGTCCATAAATCTTACTTAACATAACCCAGCAGGTAGTTTGGCAGACTCTCTCTGTGTCATGTGTATGCACCAAGGGACAGAATGCCCATGCTGTTGCAGGTACTGCCCCAGGGGTGTATGAGAGAGAAAGGCGGAGACTGGCAGCCCTCACCATTCACAAGGACAACTTATTTTTATTTTCCAGACCTGTGTCACCATCTGTTTCTTTCATTCTCCTTCTGATCTTTTCACACAAACTCTACATTTCTTCCTCTGTTCATCTCACTTTAATAAAGCAAGAGTCTGGGGGGTGAGCCAAGTCTAAAACAACCTGCTGTCGCTGAATGATGTTTTATTACTGTGGCTCGCCGGACTCACCTGGATCTCTTTTCGGGGTAGTGGATCTCATTAAGCATGCCATCCGTCCAGGGCCTGCAGTGCTGGTCTATATTCGGTAATCTGCCTGTGGCCACACCAGAAGGTAATGCTTTCTGCAAGGTTGTTACAGGTGAAGCTTCTCTGCCTTTGGTGTGCCAGATGATTTACATGCACAAATCTTTTCTAGAAAAGAAACAACTTTTCCTTGTAATTAGTTGAAATAGTATCAGTCAGTTCTCTTTTTTCCTCGCATTTTTACAAATGAGCAAACTGAGGTTCAAAGGTCATAGTTAATGGAATAGCTGCTCCATGCTACATCTTATGTACATCTGTAACTTTTATACTTACTTATTTCTTGCATAGCTTGTAATCACATTTCAAAGGGTGAGTCTTGTTGAAGTCCCCAATTCTTGTCACTAGGATAAAGTGAATGTATGTCTCTCCCTTGTGGGAGGGGCTGGGAACTTGTGTTATTGCCTGTGGGTGGGGAAGGTAAAATGCACATCATTCAAAAGCCACACATTTTATTTTTATTTTTTTCTTAAGGATGAAGAGGAAGAAATCAAACTGGAGATAAATATGCTGAAGAAATATTCTCATCATAGAAATATTGCAACATATTACGGTGCTTTCATTAAGAAGAGCCCTCCAGGACATGATGACCAGCTCTGGGTAGGCAAATGTTTCCCGAGGGTTTTGTGAGGTTTCCTCTTTAGTTGTACTAAAAAGGACAGTAAGGACCTTCCAGAGGGAGGGGAGAGAAAAGCAAAGACAAAGGGGGTAGTGCCTGGTATCTTCCTTGGCTTTCTTGGTTAAAGGTTAAACAGTCTTGGCTGAATGTTTATTTTTATGTTGGCTTCACTTTGCGTGGAAAAAAGTTAACTTCATGTTTCAGGAATAAAATGGCACTTTTTAAAAGTAATGTAACCAAAACGCAAGGAAATTAGGAGCTCAGAAATAAAACCAACAATAAAAACTTTATTTATGGAAATTAATACGGAAGCTCAACTAAATGCATCTTCTTTGCCATCTGGAAGGGGACATGTCACAAGAAAACAGTATGACAGTATTTATTAATAATATTAATGATGACAATTAATTGAAAGTATTAAATTCCAGGGATATTCCTAGAATTGATAAACATTCAGCCTTATCTCTTACTGAGCCACGTCTGTCTTGAAGATAGTGACACTGACATGCTGTCAGATCTGTGGTTATCATGTTAGTTATGCCAAAGGCACTGGACTTAAAAAGCAGGAAAATACTTTTTCTAATTTTTTAAAACTCATCATAGAAAATTTGCAAAATTAAGGCAAAAGAGAAGCAATTAATCTTTATTTTCATTGCCCAAGTCCAATCAAAGTTAAAATTTTAGAATCGCTCGATTCATTTTCTAGGTATTTAGAAAATATACTTGTGTTCATATTGTATAAACATTTAGGTGTTGTAAAAATGTATTTTTAAAATTATGTACTGCTTTAAAATAGCATTTCTCTTAATATAAAAGGTTGAGAATCATAATGTATGGAAGATAGAATATCTTTGACTCTGGCAAATGAGAGAAGATGTTAGAGTATTTCCATCAGATTTCTGATAATTAGTCACTGATTAAGGACAAAATGGTCTTCCCATGCCCATATGAGAGAGGAAGAACACTTTAGAATCTCTGCACTGGGGGATGTGCTGTTAAATATCAGAAACTCTTAAATCTCCTGGATCAAACATACACAGTGAATAAATTAAATGGCGAAATGAGCTCTCAGTAATTTGGATGCTTCCAAGATGATCATGTACCCAGATCTTTAGGGAAGGCAGAGGGGGGTTAGACTGCTTTCCTGACTTCCCTCCAGTGTGTACTAATAGCTGTGATGCTCTCACTGACTGCTAGGATGTGCTAGTCACAGTGTGTCTTGTCTGTCCCGTAGCTTGTTATGGAGTTCTGCGGGGCTGGGTCCATTACAGACCTTGTGAAGAACACCAAAGGGAACACACTCAAGGAAGACTGGATAGCTTACATCTCCAGAGAAATCCTGAGGGTAAGGAGAAGGGCGAGTCTGTGATGCCCGGTACATGGTCTTGTGTTTCCATTTTCATTTTCCTAGCCCTGAGTATTACTTTGCATTAACTGTAACTGTACAGATTGTTCTTTTCATGACAGCCAAGGGCTCTGTATAACTGGCTGGCTTTGATTGTTTAAGCTACATCATGGTTTTGATTATGACAAGTATCTAAGGAAAGTAGACTTACCCAAAAATAGTTTTCTGTATTTCCCTGAATTCACCCTCCAGGTGTTAAAAAGAAAATCCAAGTGAAGAGAAATCGTCTCTAACTATTGTTTTTATAGGAATCCTGTGTCTAAGCTTATGAATCAATATCAATGATGCCAATCGCTGGCTTTTAGAATCATCTTGTGGACTTTGACATTAACTCTGAGAATTTGTTGCAGTATTTACGAGGGGAAGTTCTAATGTTTAATGTTTTTTACAGCTGATTGAAAGCCAGTTTATTATGTTAACGTTTCTGAACTACTGTTTTAGCAGATTCTAAATGATCGCGTTCAGTAGTGGTGCTGCACTTATGCCACGGGCAGAGGGCCTGTGTAGATTGCATTTGGAAAGTGCGTGTGGGTTAGCAGTGGGCCTCTTCCCTTTGGCCAGCTGTCCCAGTGTCACTACCCCTTAATTACACATTTAGATGATTTTGTTGGATTTCATTTACCCACCACATTTAAAAAATAAAGACTGTGGAGTTAAACTAGAATCTAATTCTTATGCTTCTCTCACTAATAAAAAAAACTGTTGCTGTATTTTTTATTTATAGGTAAATTTACCCTACTTTTATATTTAAGTTTCTTAGAGGATTTCAGGTTTAAAAAACACCACCTAGAATTTACAGAGATGAATTTTAATTCCTTTTTATTTAGATATGTTATGAAGCCCTTGAAATTAAGCAATTCCCTTAAGAAAACTAGTCATAGGGGCTGAGGTGGAAGAACCTTACCTTCTCTTTATAATCACACTCAGATTTCATTATGAAAACATGAGAGTCCTATCTTTTATGGTTATTGTAAGAAGCAGAGTCTAAAAGTGGAAAACTAAGTATCCCATCCTGTACTACTGTGAAAGAGTTCACCAAGTGGGCAAATGCATTCATTATATTAACAACTAAAACTCTTGGCCTGGTCTGCAGGAGAAAACAGTGGTTAGAGTGAGGCAGATGTGGGTTTGAGTCCTGCCTTTGCTACTTACCTGATACACACCCCTGGCAAAGTTACTCCCCTTTAAGGACTTTCTTCATCTGTAAATTTTAGATACCAACCTTATGAAGCAAGTGTCATTGTTATGAGAATTAAATGAGTTGGTATATATGAAATTATTTAATGTAATGTGAGTATATAACAAATTGTCAGTAAATATTACACTTACTGACACCTTTTGTGTATATAATTCCAGTGTAGGATTTCTCAAGCAGAGATGTAGGTTTTAGTATGAATGCCCTAGGTGTCAAATGTATTTTGCCTATCAGAGACAACTAACATGTTTTTATGTACGCAGGCAAGCATTTTTCTACTGATCGTGTAATAAGTATATTTAGCTATTTTACTTCCATTGATCTCAGACATTATTTCAAAGATGCCCGGGTTGTTTGAGGCCCTGGAATGATCATAATAGCTTAATGGACATCCTTCTGAGATACGCCAAATGTTTTCCACCTCAGTGGGTACCTGAAACAAAGAGTTCCCTTCATTTACATTTCATTTAGGATGGCAATTTTTTCTGTAACCAAAGTCTAAATGAACTAAAAACAAGTCTCTGGAAGAGTCAGTGTGTCACAAGCTAGTATGTGTTTTTTCACAGGGACACTGAGAGTCCACTTTGGTAAAGAGAAAGCAATATGGTGAGAAGGAGGTGAGCTGTCCTGGAAAAGGAAGGCACCCAGCCAGCCCAAGTGGATAACCTGGGTTCTCAAAGACACTGCTGGGTTAGCTAATTTCTGCAGCAGCGAAACTTGTCTACCTTCTTTAGTAGATGTTAGATTCACATGCTGTTATTATGTTAAGATCCTCAGAAGGTTGAGAGTCATGAGCATATAGGCCTCAGACATCAGTAGGAAAGCTCTCTTGGGCTGGCCCACTGAGACTCTTGACCAAAGGTTTACCAGCAAAGCCAGCCATGTTCATTCCAGCCCACTTCTACGTTTATAGTCCGCACAGCTATTGATGCATTTTAGTAGAAGCTGATATTCATTGTAAGCCTTTCATAACCAACACTGAAGGACAACCTTTGATGTTCCTTTGCTCTATGTCCATGAATGAGAGTTACAGGAAGAATGTTTTCTGGTTTTGAAACTTTGATGCATTTGCTCTAGGGTGGTATTTACTGTGTATTTGGACTATCTTTGCTATGGAGGAATAATTGTGGCTTAACTTTTGGCATGGCAGTAGTTGAACATGCATCCTCTCTCTTCATATAGGGAAAGATGTACTCATTTGGAATAATCATAACTCAAGTTCACACTGTCTACGAGCTATTAGACACACCTTGAGTGGTTTCACCTGGAGACACATCAATCCCTTAGCAGTAGGGACAGGAAGTAGATATTTCTTAAGTTTATTGCTTGTAAGAAACAAGAGTGCATGCAGGCCACATTTCTTTGAGAAGATGTGAATACTTATGTTTGTTGTTGCTAAGATAATCCTGTAAAAGTATAAGATGGGGGTTGTGAAAAAGAATATAAAATGAACTGAAATAATAGAAGTAGGAATTATGAAGGAATTAGGGAAGCTACTTTTTTTGTTTGTTTCTTCTTTGCTGTTCAAAGTTATGCCATGCTGAAAGGAGAGACTTTCTTCCTAACTATAGCACTAACATACCATATATTTTTAGTGCCTTTTTCCCCTAGTCAGTGCTTTGCGGTGTAACACTGCACATCCTGTGTGGGGGGAAAATAAACAGGGCCATCATGTAGGCTCAATTCTGCTTTATAAGCAGACTAGTAAATTGTTGTTTAGAAACCCCCTGTGCTAGAAAAATTAGTATTCTAGAGCGGCTGTTGTATTTAACACATACCCTACACAGTAATGATAATAAAACCTCACAGAAAAAATCAAACTGGAAAATGAAATAAACCTTTCTTCTGATCTGGCCATTTTGAATTGAGACATTTCAGAATAAATAGGTTGCTTGTATCTTAAGGAGGCAGCCTATAGATTTGGCTTCTCTAGCTAAAGATAGAAAAAGTACAGGAGTTGTGAGAATGACACCTTTTTGTCTGTCGGGCATCTGTTGGATGCAGAATGTGTTTTCGTTCTTCTGCCACCTCTCTTAAGAGACATGCTCTTGGGCTTTGCTCCAGATACAAGGTCATCAGAAAGTGCTATATGCCCAGTAGGGTTTATATCCTTGGGAAGGAAGGATATTTTATTTGAACATAAAGCTGTTTCAGTGGCAGAATTGTTTTATGCTGGGGTGGAAGTGGGATTGATCAGCAGTTAGCAGTTTGTCACTATGTGGTGGGAAAACTAGGCAGTGTTCAACAGCCAGACTTAAAACCCTCTCTGGCTCTTTGCTTTTCCCCTGGGATGGGTCTAGTTCAGATATACCCACGGGGTCACCCACTGAAAGATGGACATGTAGCGTGGGAAAGGAACCACCCTGTACACAAATAGCACAAATTACAGCAGAGAAACTACAGATGGTAATCTAGAGCGTATCTTCAAGGAACAGCTAGAAACGGGTAATGTTGCTCACACAAGGGACCTAACCCACTGGAATTAGGGAATGGGTACTTCTTTCTGTTTGTGTGGTACTACTGGTGATGTCTTCATGGGAAGGCACTAAGATTGAATTATAGTACGTTCTGAATATGGTTCATAAAGCTATTGGCGTGCATGTGCATTTTGTTATAAAAAGTATGTTCCTGGCTATTTGCAGCAACAAAGAACTAAAATTCAAATCTGTCTGTCTTCTTCAGGGACTGGCACATCTTCATATCCATCACGTGATTCACCGGGACATCAAGGGCCAGAATGTATTGCTGACTGAGAATGCAGAGGTGAAACTTGGTATGTGATGCATGTGCCACATGATCTAATACTTGGCCCCTGGTGCAGACCAGCGACACTCTCTACCTCACTGGCATTTAGCTAAAAGCTCAGTCTGTTACCCACATTTTCTCTTTTGTTCTACTTAAGAAGTGAGAACTGGGGTTATTATTTTGTCTGGCTCCAACCGCCCTTCCCTCATGCTTCTCCCCTCTGCTCTGCTCACCATATAATAGACTACTGTTTAAATCAGATCACATCACTTTCTTTAAGACCCGTTAGTGGCTTCCTTTTACACCTGGAATAAAATGTACATTTCTTACCATGGCCCATAAAAAGCCATGGCTCCTACTACTTTCCAGCCCTACTTTGTGACCATCCTCACTTCTCTCTTCTTCAGTTCACTCATTTTTATATTTCTTAGACTTTTCCCTTGGCGTCTTCACATACACTATTCCCCACTGGGAACAGTTTTGAAGTTGCAGTTTTTTCCTCATCTTCAGAGACCTTCCCTGACCCTCTGATCTGTATTGGGTGCCACCACTTGTTTCCTCATTAATACTGATCACAATTTATAATTATACAGCTATTTGTTTACCTCTATTTCTGCCTTATTCACCGGAATGTAATTTCTAGGAGTGTAGCAACTAGGATGTTTTATTTATGAGAGCATTCTTTTTTTTTTATAATTTTTTTTTAACGTCTGTTTACTATTGAGAGACAGAGAAACATAGAGTGTGAGCAGGGGAGGGGTAGAGAGAGAGGGAGACACAGAATCCGAAGCAGGCTCCAGGCTCTGAGCTGTCAGCACAGAGCCCAACACAGGGCTCAAACTCACAAACTGCGAGATCATGACCTGAGCTGAAGTCAGTTGCCCAACCAACTGAGCCACCCAGGTGCCCCTTATGAAAGCATTCTAATCTGGCACCTAACTTAGTGGCTTAGATGTAGTAGGTGCTCAGTAAATTTATGTGTGGATGCTTGAATGGATGAGGTCCAAAGTATCTTCCTGGAGATGATTTTATAATGGTTCTTCTATATTTCCTGTTTCCCTTACCTGAATTTGAACTTTTTTCTTTTTTCCTTTAAAAAAAATTTTTTTTTAATGTTTTTATTTATTTTTGAGACAGAGAGAGACAGAGCATGAGCAGGGGAGGGGCAGAGAGAGAGGGAGACACAGAATCCAAAGCAGGCTCCAGGCTCTGAGCTGTCAGCACAGAGCCCGACACGGGGCTTGAACTCACGGACCGTGAGACCATGACCTGAGCTGAGGTCGGACGCTTAACTGACTGAGCCATCCAGGCGCCCCTGAACTTTTTTCAATCCCACTTTTATATAATGGTTCTGTCAAATTTTTAAACAGAATTAGCAGTAAGTTTTCTTCCACTAAGGCATCACAGAAAAAAATTCTTTCTACTTATAAGGATCTACTCCATCTTTCAAAAATCTTATGCGCCGTAGTTCTACCTTAAAATCTTCATTATTGCTTTCTTGCATAATACCCCCATTTATCGGTCGTCTGTGGAGAAATAGGGTGCCCATTTAGGAAATTCCCTCAAAACCAAGATAGGAGACACTTGAATTGTTCTCATTCCCAGTGACTCAGCAAGCTGTGTGTGTCCCCTGCACTGGCCTGCTGGTGCCAGGCCTGTGATACTCCCTTCGTAATAATCGCTTGGTGATCACTTGCGACTGCTATTTGAGTTGCTGCAAATGGCATGCACTGCTTGGCACATGTGTCTGTCTCAGGAGCCCTTAGCTTGTGAGCCCACCTCTTGGCCATGTCGTTGCCCGAGTGGCTTCAGGAGATGTACATACACAAGTTGAGTCTATAACCCCACTCCTGTGAGTGATCTCAGCATCGTGCAGTCCTCCTAGGGGTAATGACAATGTACGTAGTGGTATCATTCGCAAACATTCTATTAGAGATCCTGATCTTCCTGTCAGCTCTGCCTCCCACCCTTGAACTTTCCTCTAGACTACCATCATCGTTCGGCTGAGTAGGATGTAGGGGTCACTCTGAAAAATCGGAAGTCCCAGGTACTCTGAGGGGTGTTTCTTAGTATATTTGTGATATAGCTTCATTCTCTTTATTGAATTCATTACTGTGTTCTTTCCAGAAAACCTTTGTGGCTTTCTTCTCTTTCTGTGGTTAGTGCTGCCTCAGAAGCTAGGTCACGTGGGTGTTAGTTCTCCTGAACTTGGAGCTTTCTATGACTTGATCTTGTTTGTCGCAGGCATGTTTCCTGCAAGCACCGAACGTCCTAATTCATCCAAAAGTCCCTCTGGTGGCCACTATCCTGGAAGCTCAGGGAAGTGGCTGGGTTCAGGCTTCCCAGGAGCCGGTAGACTGGTAGAGGATCTTGTCATTTTAGTGGCTCTGCTCTGGAGACTGCTCCTTATCAGTGCTGGTGACCTTGAGGAGTTTGTATATCCATGAAGTATTACTCCTTGAGTTTACTCTGAAGACACCTCCTCCTCACCTTTCTTCGTCTGATAGTTTACTTATTTGCTAATTATGTTCTACTCCTTCCTTTCTCTTCCTCCCACAGTTGATTTCGGTGTGAGTGCTCAGCTGGACCGGACAGTTGGGAGGAGAAATACATTCATAGGCACCCCCTACTGGATGGCTCCTGAGGTCATTGCCTGTGATGAGAACCCAGATGCCACCTACGATTACAGAGTAAGAGGCGCCTACTTTCTTGGCCTTTACTGGGTCCCTGGCATTCCTGAGGGATGGGGGCACTGCTTACAAAAAGCTTACTGCTTTTTCAATGAGAATGACTTGAAAACTTTGTTGCAAGTGCAAATTTTCTGGAACAGTATTGAGATGCTGTCTTGTTATTGTTCATCCCCCATCACCTCTGTTCTCCTTACTAAGTAATATTCTGCTTTCAGGGCAATGCAAGTCACTGACTTGTGCATAGAACTTTTTGTCATGAGTGAATTAAATGCTTCTGCCCTGTTTGCCATCCTTGTAAAATTGAAGAATATAATCAGATGTTTATTATACTTTTAAAAATACTGTCAGAATATATAACAATAGCTTCATCTATGTGAAATTTTAGAGTATTGCTAAAGAGCTTTACAGCTTTGATTTGGCACACAAATAATATATTTAAATTATTAGAGTGACCTCTAGGGACTTGTATCAAAAATGCACTTTTTTGGGGCGCCTGGGTGGCGCAGTCGGTTAAGTGTCCGACTTCAGCCAGGTCACGATCTCGCGGTCCGTGAGTTCGAGCCCCGCGTCGGGCTCTGGGCTGATGGCTAGGAGCCTGGAGCCTGTTTCCGATTCTGTGTCTCCCTCTCTCTCTGCCCCTCGCCCGTTCATGCTCTGTCTCTCTCTGTCCCAAAAATAAATAAACGTTGGAAAAAAAAAAATTAAAAAAAAAAAATGCACTTTTTTGATCTCAATGTAAAGCCCATATTTGATCATCAGATTCAGGTTGAGCGTTTACAAAAATTATTTTTTTAAAAAAGTTCTCTTGCTGTAATTAAACGAGTCAGAGTGTCTATGTATCTGTTAACGGTATTCAAAATTGAGTTCATATTTTCACACTCTCCAGTGTATTTTAGTATTTATTATAAATACCCAATTAATGAAGCTCATTTTAAGCATATGGTATGGAGGAATTTTTATTTTATTTTATTTTTTAATTTTTTTTTTAATGTTTATTTATTTTTGAGACAGAGAGAGACAGAGCATGAACGGGGGAGGGTCAAAGAGAGACAGAGACACAGAATCCGAAGCAGGCTCCAGGCTCTGAGCTGTCAGCACACAGCCCAACATGGGGCTCGAACTCACGGACCGTGAGATCATGACCTGAACCGAAGTCGGACACTCAACCGACTGAGCCACCCAGACGCCCCAAGAAATTTTTATTTTATTTTTAAACATGCTGGAGTATTTTACAATAAATTATAGACTAGGTGACTTGTCACTCTTTATTATGTTATTACATATCCAAAAATATTTTCCAGCATACCCAAAATATTATGATGCTTAAGTAAATTAAAAATAATTTCATAGTACAGAGTTTGTAATTAAACCCAACTGGTTTATACCTGGCTTATCCAAACGAGTGTTTAATATAGGACAAGACATTGTATTTGGTTGTTTGGCTACTGTGTATCTTTTAATCAAGGCTAACAAACTGCCCCTCCTCCTCTTTTTTTCATGACACTGATTTGTTGACAAGGCAGTATTCCACCATATAGATTTGTCTTACCATTTTAAAATTTTAACTTTACAATCTTTGTTAAGGTATTTTCCTTGTGTCTTATAAACTGGAGAAATTCCATTAGTATTGAGAAAACCTAAAGCAGGATTGCCTCAGGAGATGGGTATGGTTTGTGTTATATCACACCAGGGGGGCGTGAACATCTGTATATCCCGCCACTGATGCTTAAGATTAGTCACTGAGTCCAGGTGGGTGAAGCCCCTCCTTTGCGCTTGACAGTATAGAAAACCTCATAAAAATAAGGGAGAAATTTGTGGGCCTGTCCTTCTTGGAATCAAACATGTGTTTGAATTGTGTAACATAATTATAGGTTATTTAGAAAACTGAGCAACTTTAAGTAAATCTTTCATTAGAATATAGCATATAAACAAAAGAATGCTAATGATTATAACTACCCGATTGTCTGCTTTTTAAAAATCTGTTTTGGATTTTAAGAAATTGGCTGATAAAACTTACTTCCGTCATTCATCAGCCGATGTTTATTGAGTGCCTACCACATGCCAGTCACAATTTTGGGGACACAAAGGTGAATAAAACAGACGAGAATGTCTGCCCTCATGAAACTTGTATTTGGGTGGGGAATAAAGTTAAAATTCAAATTTTACAATTAATATTTCAGGGGACTGAGAAGAGATTCCATGCCTAGAAAGGCAGCTGATTGCTTACTCCTTATTAAGTTTGAGGGGAGAGTAGAGAGGCTTAGCGGTGTGATTACAGTCGGTGAATTCAACTCTGAGCCTTTTATAAAGAAGGCTTTCTAGCCTTTAAACTTTTTTTTTAAGGTTAATTTATTTTTTAATTCAAATATAATTAACATACAGTGTATATTAGTTTCAGGTTAGCCTTTAAAATTTTAACATCTTAATTAAGTTTGAGATAGTGACATAAATCATAAAATTAAACATAACTTGGGCCAGGAGTCAAAATTATTGAACGTAAAGAAATGAGGAGACACACTGAACAGCAGGCATGCAGTGGCCAAGAGAAGCTTTTACATGGACCATCTCTCGTTCAGTCACAGATGGGAGTGGTTCTAGTTAACAGGTCAATTTTATATTTATTTTTTCATTCATTCATTCATTTGGAAAGTATTCTTACGTATGTGTTTGTGCTTTTAATTTTCTGGCAACTTCTTTTCAGTTTATATGCCAAAAAATGCCTTTAAATCATTTGTGTGACTAGTCAGCAGTGATAAGTTAGTGGCTTCATATCTAATCCAGTAGCTGTAACATACTGTTTTATTTTTGCAGAGTGACCTTTGGTCTTGTGGCATTACAGCCATTGAAATGGCAGAAGGTGCTCCCCGTAAGTAATGTACTTTCTTCTTTAGCCCAGTTCTTCTGTGTGAGTTAAAATCAGTCTCAAGCCTTCAAAAAGAACAACTTCATGGATAAAGCCTTTCCTAGTGGGGCATTTAGTGGAAGGAATCATAAATACAGTGAAGTTTTAGATGTAAAAGGATTCTTGGCATCCACTCTTCCTTTTGAAGATCCCTGAAGTCTGTAGGCTACATTTTATCTTTTATGTAAGTTGTATTTAGATGTGTGACCTGAAATTATGCTGACATCAGATAATAGGCAGTAATTTTTCTTTTCACAATTTAAACTTTAGTGAAACTAAATCCTAACACGTGACATTTTAGTAATACTTATGTTATTACTTTACAAATAGAGGCCTAACTTTTTATCTGTGGAATAATTTTTTTTCTTTTTTTTTCCCTTTTTTTGGATACTTGTGTGAAATTTGCTTCTCCCTTTCAGTTAAATCAATGACAACTTCATAAAATTGATTTTTGAGCAGAGACGGGTAGAATTGCAGAGAACAAAGGGACAAAACAGCGTTATCTGCTGGTCCCCCTAAAAAAAGGGGTACACAAAGAATGTGTACATGTCATGCTACATAGTTGCTGCTGAATAAATATTTGTTGAATGAATGAAAAAAATTTCCAATGGCTAAAAATTAGTTTACAGTACAGAAATGGATGTCAGTCTTGAACACCATGTTTCCTCATGTTTCCCTCTGAGGAATTGAGACAGGGATGTATTGCCAGATCCTTTGTTTCAGGTTTTTTTCACAGTGGGAATAGATTGTCTTCTTGGCCCCCATTTCTTAGCTGCCTTGTAAGATTCTTACGAAGGTAAATAAACATACAAAAATGCACATTACCTCTTTTGATATATTAATATGTGCGTTTACACCTGCTATGCCTTTATGGGCAAGTGAAAGAAGTATAAACAGTAAATGCACAGAATCAAACAATCCATTTTGTCTCTCGTCTTTGCTTCTTCTTAGTAACACTGGCTATAGCAAAAGAACAGTTAACATTTCTGGAGGGCTTCACTGGGTTTATTACTATGTCTCGGCACTCTGTGAATGCCTTTTCGAGCAGTATCTGATTTAATCCTCACAATGACCCTATGACAATAAAATTATTTTCGTTGAGATCTTATAGATGGTGTAGAAACTTAAGCTATTCACTCTTTTAAGACTTTGAATCCATATTTATCTTTGATTTATGAAAACTTTCCAATGTCAATTTGAATTGTGAAATTATGTTCTTCTTGTTGCTCTTGACCTCCTTATCTTTTGCTATGTTTATAAAGGGGGAAATTCAAGGTATATCCTAGGGTTGATAGCTGGATGTCTAAACTGCTTGACATAAAGATTATCAGATGATGGGACAGCGCATTTGATATTTTGAGTGAGCCCTAGAAATTAAAAATAAGTAAAATAAGTGCCATACTGACACAACCATCTCCTTTCCCCAGCTCTCTGTGACATGCATCCAATGAGAGCACTGTTTCTCATTCCCAGAAACCCTCCTCCCAGGCTGAAGTCAAAAAAATGGTAAGCTATGTATGCTTTTGTTGTTGTTGTTGTTCTTTCCTTTTTTAAAACAAATTGTTCCTTTTCAGTTTCGCTCCAAGACAAAATTCTAGCCATTTTCATTCCCAAAGAACATAAGAGCCAGCACCGTGAAACACCAGTTAAATTGGTTTTTTTCTTGATAAATTCTTTTCATTACAAAATAGTAACAAGTGACCATATGAAATACTGTAACATGGTTAAAGAAAAAAAGTTTCACTTTAATATTTAAGCCCACTTTTAAGTATATTTCTAAGCATTTTCACATTAAAAAGCATAGCTGTACTGACTTTGTAGTTCCTCGGGTAAGATAGGATTTGAACATTAATGGAGGCATTTAAATCTGTAATGATTGCGGGGCGCCTGGGTGGCGCAGTCGGTTAAGCGTCTGACTTCAGCCAGGTCACGATCTCGCGGTCCGGGAGTTCGAGCCCCGCGTCAGGCTCTGGGCTGATGGCTCGGAGCCTGGAGCCTGTTTCCGATTCTGTGTCTCCCTCTCTCTCTGCCCCTCCCCCGTTCATGCTCTGTCTCTCTCTGTCCCAAAAATAAATAAACGTTCAAAAAAAAAGAAAATTTATAAATCTGTAATGATTGCAAAACATTGGAATTATTTGTATCTTTTTTCATTCCAGAAATGAGAGGAATGGTCCTCTCTTTGGGCTGCCACCTGTCTTTCTCCCTGCAGCTCACATACTTGGAAAGCCAAAGTTGCTTATGAGTGAAGGGAGATGATGGTGACCTTCCTCGTGAAAGCTTTAAGAATTGTAGCGGTGTGGAAAAGTGTTGATTTGGTTTAGTTTTAAAAGTCTTTACAGGAGAGGGTAGTGCTTTGTTTTCACCTGAGAATGTTGCTCCCTTATTTCTCCTTGAACTTTTTTTTTTTGAGTCCTTTCCTCTCACTTTGTCTCCATTCAGGCTCCTTATGCATGTGGGTCCTCTCCCTTTCTTCCATTCCTGTTTCCCAGGGCACGTCTGTCTCACTGGTGCCCACCTCCTACTATGGTGGTTTTTTCCCCTTCTGAAACTATTCTCACTTATTTTCCGATGAGTGTTATCTCCTCTCAGGTTCTTGACTCTAATTCTGAAGTATGTGAAACATCTCAGTTTCAAGCGTTCTTCTGTTCTGGATTTGGTCTTTTAGCTATTACTGTGCTCTTCTTCTTGGTTGCTCATCTTCTGATGTTCTGTGGTTTTCTTTGCCCATCTGTGGGCTTTACATGCACGCACGTGTTTTCACTCTTGTTTCTTTCATACTTCTCCCCGTTCCTCACTGTCTTTATGTACCTTTTGTCTGCTGGCAGGAATTTTCTCATTCTACTTACACTGTCTTTAACCACCTTCAACTCCAGATAACTGAGCTTATCTAGTTCCACTTAACAGTTTTTAGAGAGTTCTCTAAAGCTGTACAGTTGTCAAGATTTTAGCCCCACTTGGTCTCTTGTACTGAAACATGATAGCTGTAGTCATCAATGGTGGGTGGCCAACTTTAGGGAAACCAAATGTGTATAGAGGACATCACCAAGGAGTAAGTTCTGGGGGTGGGTAACACTATCTAGCTAAACTAAATAATGCTATTTTTATTAAAGGGAGTTTATGCTCTGTCTTCAGGGTACCTCACAATTCACAAGTCTTGTCAGCTGGCCCCACTCTGATTATTCTGTCTGTTATTTGCAGTTTGGGATTAACCATTCTGTGTATAATACAGTGATCTAAAGAGACAGCTGTAGATGGCAACAAATCTTCCTGCTTTCTTACACCACATTTTCTCTAAAGTTGATTAGATGCATTTTCATCCATTTACATCATTGCTGTCATTTTATCCAGGTATTCTGAAAGAATGAGATGATTGCAAACATAGTGTTCTTTTTCCTTTCTGATTGCTATCTTCCTATCCACCAGTGTAAATTTCTCCTGCTGGTTTTAGAGAAGTGATCAGTGAATTCTCTTCTAGCAGAACTTGACAATTGATTTTAAAGAATATATTGTAGATCATTGATTCCCAAATGTTAATTTGTAGACATGGAATGTGAGAATCCCTTTGGAATCTTCATTTAGGGTTCCATCCTCAAAGTGTTTCTTGTTTGTTAGGTCTGAGGAGTGACCCAGGTATTTGTATTTTTAATAAACTCTCAAAGTGGAGTTGATGGGCATTGGAGTTTAGGAATCTCTGTGTTAGAGCAGTTTCCACTACAACTGTGTAGAATCTACCATGTTCCTCACTAGCCACAGAATAAAGTCACAACCTTGCTGTGTGGCTTTGAGGACCCTTCTCTGAGCTGATTCTGACCTATTTTTCTGTTCGTTTCCACTTTTTATACTAGCATCAGAAAACAATTCATTACTCCCTAATACTTTTCTCCCTTTGTTCATGTTGTTCCTTTCACTCTGGAATGGTGGCTTCTCTCTCCCATTTCTAGAATATCAACTATCCTACTTTTTTATGCTGGCTAACCCCCTGTAGCAGTAGTTCTTTCTTCCTCTGTAAGGTTGAGTACATACCTGCTATTGTGCGTCCATAGATTTCCTCCACTTTATTTCCTATGTGTATTTGTTACAGAGCCTAGCATAAACAAATGTAAATTGAAATGTAAATATTTGTCGAATTGAAAAAAATGGGAAATTTGAATGGAAATACAAGACAATAGAAGTGATTCTTCAAAGTAGTGAAGTTATTAGAAAGAACTGAACTAAAGACTGAACAACTCATTCATTCAACAAAAATTTATTACATACCTCTTGTGGTCTGCCATGCTCAGTGCTGGGCATTGCCGACAAGTTGAAAAGTAGAAATCCGTTCCTGACCTGTACCCCAGCAGGGAGACAAACATAAACATGAAGTGTATAGTCTATTAAATGCAAACAACCTTAGAGGAAAGGCTTCTAATTTGGGGCATGTAGGGTGGAGTGTTGCCAAGGAAAGCCTTACCTAAAGAAACCATATCTTATCTTAGTCTCAAAAGATAGTATAGTTATGTGTCTTGGCCAAGGCCATGGATGGAGGTCATCATGAGCCAGGCATGGAGGAAAGGGGAAAAGTAGGAGTAGCTAGTAGGGTAAATGTTTGTGACAGAGTCCTTGCCCTCCTCAGAGCTATTATGTATTTCTGTCTCTGTACATTAAGCATAGAGAACTGATCGAAATGTCGTATTAACAGGTTCAAGAGCCAAAGCATTTGGTCATTTACCAGCTCCTTATCTTTGTGTCCATCCTTGTCTTCCAGGTTCCGGACATCTACTGTCCTGTCTGCCTTCATTTTCACAAAAACCCCTGTGATTAAATGACTAATAAGCAACATTACATTTAAACCTAGTTCATTTAAAGCTGACTGCTTTCAGAGCTCTCTGTGGTGTATTGGTGGTGGTGTGGTATAACTCTTAAACCGTGTTTAAGTGATGCTCCTTATCCACAATGGTCCTGGGTTCCTCATACTTTCCCTGTGCATTTGCAGAATGTTCACAGTGAATTATGAAGCTTTTGTATGTTTTCAGACTAATAATTTACTGATATTTTGGAGCTTTGCTCTTTGCAGTAGAAATTCGATGATCTTTGTTACTTTCTCTTACAGGTCAAAGAAATTTTTTAGTTTTATAGAAGGGTGCCTGGTGAAGAATTACATGCAGCGGCCCTCCACCGAGCAGCTTTTGAAACATCCTTTTATAAGGGATCAGCCAAATGAAAGGCAAGTTAGAATCCAGCTTAAGGACCACATAGACCGGACCAGAAAGAAGAGAGGAGAGAAAGGTATTAATCTGTTTTTATTTTCATCTTAAAAAAAAAAAAAAATTTGAGGTTTTTGCCCACCAGAATAGGTTACTCCTTTTCCACCCAGGAGTTTGTGCTCCCTTGGCTGGTGCTGGCATAGTTTGTCTCTGCTCTGCAGGTCAGCCGTGAGCCTCAGGGCCAGCCTGGCTCAGGTGGAGTAGACCGGAGCTGCATGCTATGTCACCAAGCTGACACCAGATAAACCGCCACTGTGGCTCGTCAGCATGAAGGGATGTTTCTCTTGTTCCTCCTCAGGAACATGTCTTTGTTGCTGCTCTTTTTACTTCATTATGTGCATTTGCATTCTGAATAAGTCATTCAAGGTTTATTGAGCACTAGCTGTGAACATCACCATCCATGTGTTCATTGCATGTCTCTCCTACTTGAGAACCCTCTGGGTTTCTTACTGCTTTATTCTGTGCAGGTGGTGTGGCCAGGCCTGGGCCACATGTGTGCCTGACTACTTTTCTGTCACCATAGCACAACGTGAACATGTTAATTATTTAATGTTTCTTTCTGTTCCTGGTGTCTTGGTTTTATATCTCTGTGTGGTCTGTATCTACCTGTCCAGAGCACCATCTGTCTCCTTGCTGTCCAGCAAGATGGAGCTCAGGCTTCTCCACCATCTTCCGCCTTCACCAAGGCCTCCAGCTCACATTGATCTTTCTGTTTTATGAATTCTTATCATAACTTTACAGAACAACATTTGATAACTGGCATCTTGATGGTGAATTTTTTTGACGTTCAAATTTCAAGGCCAAAAGAGAAACTAAGAAGAGAAAGTTCAAGACAGTAAAAAGACTTGGTCACAGTCCTCTTTGGAGGTCTGTAGTGAGCTTTTTACATGTTCTTTTCAGTCTTCAGAGCTACATTATCAGCGATGCTCACAACTACTTTTGGTCCTCTGATATATTCAGTTATAAAAGTAATTAAGTTTGGTATGTTAAGCTATGCAGTTACAATAAGTGAACTGAAATTTGAAAACAAAGCTTTTTTGGGGGTGGGAGAGGGAGGTTATTTGTATATTGAATCATTTTCCCAGTATGTACTTTCTTAATAATAGCTCATCGTCATGGAGCATTTGCTCCATGCCAGGCGTTTACGGAGTACTCCGCCTGGACTCTTGTGCACATTTGTGGATGGGAATTATGGAGCACTTTATCTTCATTTCTTTATTTTCAAGTTACATTCATTTACCTTTCAGATACCCTCAGCCTCTTGTCAATAATTAATAGTTCATAGTACCAAATCGTAAACATAACAGAGTACTACTTAAAAGAATCTAAAGATTACTTAGGTTAGAATTTCCTTTGGAAGCTAACCTATTTTTATGTTCTTTAAAATTATACAGTTTTGATGGTCTTCTCAGTGAAAAGAACTAATGTTGTATATATAGACTGATGAATCTGTAGATACGTGTATCTAGAATTATATATAATGTAGACTGACCCCATTTTAAGTTCTCAGAACTGTTTTTCTTACCGAGATACTGATTTCCAACTTCTGTGTCTCTGAAAAAAGTTAGAAATGTGGTTTTTGTTTGCAAATAGACTTGTTTTACACATCTCTTCAACCTTTCTAGTTTTGATTGCTCTCTGGAGTGAAATTGTTCACTCAAAGTTTAGGTACTGACCTTAAGTACAAGGTCTGTTGCTTGGGGTGACGTAGTATAAAACCTGCTGATGTGAAAACAGGTTGCTCATGTTGACATTTTTGCTTAATGTGGTGAAAGAAGAGCACCTTCTCTCTCCTCCCCTTGCTGTATTGTTTTCGCACCGATTTTTCCCTGGCTTCACCTTTGTAATATGTGGGGACATTGGATTTTGTCTCTCAGTGCCCCAAGTACTTCCTGTACTTCACTCATCAGTCCCGCAGACCTTTCTCTCTGCTGCACTCTGAGTGTCTCCCTGAGTGCCAACAGTAACCAGATGACATCTCCTAGTTGCCTTAGTTTGGGCAGTTAATCTCTTTCTTTAGCCTTTTGGCATCAGTGGGATTTTGCCAATTTGCTGATGCATTGGAGTCACTTTTCTTGAGTGTCAAGAGCTTGAGCACCCCTCTCACAGCCCTGTACCCCCTCACCAGTGTATCCCATAAGGGACTGTCTTGAATACAGTGAAATCTGCTCTTCCATGGGGAGTAAGGGTGGCCCAGGGAATTGGGTGTCACCCCCCTCCTTCCCCAGATACTCCATATACATTGTCATTTTCATAAAGAACGTATCGTTTATTTTCTGCCATAGTGCTCTTAGAGATGTTTGCGTGTACATCCATGTGTCATGATTTGTGAACTGTTCCATTTATCTTGTCCTTTATAGATGAAACCGAATATGAGTACAGCGGGAGTGAGGAAGAAGAGGAAGAAGTGCCTGAGCAGGAAGGAGAGCCAAGGTAATAATGATGAAGCCACTGTTCAGCTTCCTGCTTTATGAAGAGGTTGTTTCATGCTAATGCCAGGATTTCAAAAGATGCCTGCGTAGTTCGAAGAAATCTTAAAGTACTTTGAAAGTACCTTAATCTCTTCATTCTTCTTCATTCTTCAAAAGATTCTTGGGGCGCCTGGGTGGCGCAGTCGGTTAAGCGTCCGACTTCAGCCAGGTCACGATCTCGCGGTCCGTGAGTTCGAGCCCCGCGTCAGGCTCTGGGCTGATGGCTCAGAGCCTGGAGCCTGTTTCCGATTCTGTGTCTCCCTCTCTCTCTGCCCCTCCCCCATTCATGCTCTGTCTCTCTCTGTCCCAAAAATAAATAAATGTTGAAAAAAAAAAAATTAAAAAAAAAAAAAAGATTCTTATGAACACTTTTCTCCCTCTGGATTCTCTTATTCAGTGGTGCTTTACCAAGATTGCACCGTTTCCCCTCCCCCAGTTATTTGGAAATATAGAATGTTGTGTTTGGTTCTGAGGAAAGGGATCTTGCCACTGGCACTTACTGCTCCAGAAGGCGTGGATGGTAAGTGCTGTGCTGCGTATTAAATAGTCCTACCCACAAAGAACTGTCCTGCTCATGGGCCAGTAGGGCCTCCATTGAAAAACACTGCAGTCTTTACTAAAATTTTCTGTTTTGTTTTGTTTTGTTCTTCCCACAAGTGTGGTTACCAGTATTGCATTTTTTCTATGAGTGTATATAATGTCCTGACCCATCTACTAGTCTATGTTTTGGTTATCTGTGGCTTCCCAAGGTATAGTGAAGCAGAAGGTTGAAGGTTTGCTAGTATGAACCTTATAGTAACTATTCAAGGAATATGAGATTTTGAAATTTTAATAATGGTCTTGCCTGGCAGTCCTTTGTGCTTTAGCCACACAAAACTTACTGAACAAAAGGAGGCTGGAAGGGCGTGTTGAGAGACCTGTAGGGACCCACGTGTGGGTGGTGGGGGTTTGAAGAGAGCACATGAAGAGATGAGAAAATCTTTTGATAAAACTCCGTAATATCCTCTTCTTCATACATAGGAGAATGTTTTAATCCATCTGAGACTAAATATTTTCTAGTAATTTGAATCGATTTCATGAGAAATATAATTGTTTTGGATAGGAGTATGATAGAAGGAGAGAGTGGTTTCAGGAGATTGATTTGCCATGTTATTTCTGGGCATTGGAAGTAGAGTGGTGGCTCTCAGCAGGGAGACCAGCTAGGAATGATGTTGTTTATCTCCCAGTGGCTCATTCTTGGGACCCACTTGGGCTCAGCTGCTTACTCTGGAAATAGGCAGTGGGAGGGCATACGTGACAAGACTTAGTGGACCAGAAGAAGAAGGGAAGGGTAGTGCTGAAGATTACTCTGATCATTCTATTGTGGTAGACTCAGAACGTGATGTTGCTTTTATTGGTGGGAAATAAGGTGGTCAGAGAGGGACTAATGAAGTGGGAGAAGAGGATTTCAACTTTCCTTTTATAGGGTTTGAGTTGATGTGAGAATCCGAAGTTAGAGATGTCTCGTCATGCAGACATCCTGGACAGAAACAGATAAAGGATGTAATACTATTGAGTTGTAGATACAGTTATTCCCATGTTTAGTTGAGTCCCAGGGTGGAAGGAACTCATTAAGAGGATGAATGAGAAATGGAATAGCATGCTGAGGCCGCTGTCTCATCCGGAGGGCAGAGTGATCTGTGAGTACTCCTGAAATCTCTGCCTTTACCTACAGCTCCATTGTCAACGTGCCTGGTGAGTCGACGCTTCGTCGGGATTTCTTGAGACTGCAACAGGAGAACAAGGAACGTTCCGAGGCTCTTCGGAGACAGCAGCTACTGCAGGAGCAACAGCTCCGGGAGCAAGAAGAATATAAAAGGCAGCTGCTGGCAGAGAGGCAGAAACGGATTGAGCAGCAGAAAGAACAGAGGCGGAGGCTGGAAGAGGTAGGAAGAGGGAAATGTCCAGTGGGCATTCTCTTTCGTTATTCACACTGGTAGCCAGACACTCAAAGGAATGTTTTCTGTAGCCTCCTGATGTGATACCTTTCCCCTGCAGGTAACTAGCTAGTTAGGTAACTTAGCTAGTCAGGTAACTTCAGAAGGAAGGCTTCTGTCTATGGTTTTGGACTGTCAGGTCTTCACATTCCTTGAGGTCTTTGAAATGTTTTCCTTGCTTGTAAAAACTGAAGGACCTGCCCCACCATTGTGCTAGATGCAGAGCAACAGGGTCCCAGAGACCGCATCATACCAGTTCTGGAAAGGCTGTTTCTGTTTGTGGTTTAAGTTGGCCAGCTCAAGCTTGACCTGACTTAGTTTCTTCTCTTGGCCTCTGGATCTAAGTTCATGTGTACATATTTTTCTGAAACTTCAGACTTTTTCACAAGAAAAACATTTTTTTTTGGTACAGACACCTTAACTTTAGTTTTTTATAAATGCCTTAACTTTAGGCACACACTATAATAAGGGATGAAAAAAAGAATTACATTGGGTATAATACAAATGCTGTTCTGTAATCTAATTGTTATCTAGTGAGATTAATTATATCCTGTGATAGGGAAATACATTTTGTACTACCTGCTGCTCATTTAATTCATTAATACTAAGCACCACTGGTGATGTGGTTACCCACAACTTGTTCGTTTGTGATTCATAGAAGTGTTATTTCTCTTTCACTTGGGGCTCAAAGAAACTTTTGATTTTATTTTCCTAACTACCTTTCATAATATGTCTCACAGCTCCACGTTTCTCATTCATAATAGTACAACTCCCAGTTTCTCATTCATAGTAGTCTCCACTTAATTCATACACCTTATCGCTTCACATTTCTTATGGCAGAAAAAGAACCCAAAACAACAAAAAAGCCCTGTATTGATACTAAACAGTGGAATTTAATTTAGATAACAGCACATATTACACAAGTTAGTTAGGAGTGTATTTGGGTTGGGGGGAATCTTTGTTTTGTGTGTTTTATAGTCTGAATTCTGCAAAACTTATACTTTTACCTGAGTTAGAAAACCAGTGTCTGTCTAGCTAAGGAGAATGGAAATGTTCAGCCTGGGCTTGCAGAAAAAAACATAGGACATAACCTTCCTCTGTAGGAGGGACAATATTGCTGTTTGTGTAACTCTTTTTGTGGCTTCTTTGCAAACTCTTTTGTAGTATTTTTAAGACTTTCTCCATGTTCTTTGAACATAACAGAAACCCAGAGTAGTCCAGGGTTTTTCAAGGTTGCCTGTTGACCATGGACTTCGTATATGAGAATGCTTGAGTTTTGAGGCTCAATTTCCAATTGTGTCTTTATGCAACATTCTCCACTGCCCATTTAAATCCTGGACTCTACTTTCCCTGAGGACACGATACAGGTTAGTTTGGTGGTTTGTAACTTTAGCTCCAGCCCGTTTGTAACACAGAATTTGCTACAGAAATTGCTTTCGGGCCAAGTGGTAGTGAGACAAGTGTTCGTTATCCAGCCTCTGTGCCCAGTAGGGAGTGAGGATTACAAAGTGAAGACCAGCACTGGCTAGAGGAGAGACACTAAAGTTTTACAGCCATTTTGTTTTATTAGTTAAAATAAAGACTTGAGGATTAAGGATGTCTGCTAAGTGAGAACTTTGCACTTTACTTGCTTTAATTAGCCCTTTAATTTCAACTTCTTAGTAAAAGTTCAAACTCACAGTCACCTCTTGGCACCTCTTAATCAGAAAAGATGGAGCTAGGTATGAAACAGGGCACATTTGCATGAATAGAATCCACTGATTTGGATTCTTGGTAATCTAGCTCCTTTTTTCTAGCCCAAGGTAATTAAGCATTGTCTATACTCTAGGTCCCAGAAGGTAATTTGGGAATATTTGAGCCCATAAATGATTTGTAGCCCTTTATTGGCATTAAACCTTCAATCAGAACTGTGTGGGGAATAGGGATTCTTTTTGTTATTAGCAAAGTAGGTAAAGATGGTTAGCCTCAGTCATAAGATAAATGACAGTTAAAACTGAAAGGAGATGACAAATACCTGGCAATGACTGGCAAAAAGAAATGGCCCAAGAGTCAAGGTTGTAGGGAAACTGAGTATAGGTTTTCCTTTCTATGCAGCTGCCATAAGATCAGGCTTATTGGTGCTAAGGACTCCTGTCACCACCATTTCTATTTCTGAGCTCTCTTTGCAGGTTAGTGCTTTTGCCCTGCCTAAGTTCTTCATCTTTAAGAAATCTGTATGTGTATATACTCCACTCTTCCTTTGCTCCTTGAAATGTGCTGATAGGATCTCTCTCCTTTGTTTTCCTCTGCTTCCTCCTCCTTGGCTTCTGCATCAACTGGAGATCTTAGAAGCCCTTGCAGATATTTTTGAGTCTTGTCTCTCAGTTTTGCTGACAATGAGGTTTCTGTTTCTGTTTTCCATTTTCCTTGTTGCTTTTGGATGGTCCCAGGCTAAAAAGGGGAGAATGCTGAGCTCAGGCAGCCAAGTTTGTACTGGCAGCTTCGTCCTCTCCTTTTCTGGACCTCACAGCTCCTCTAGTGTTTGACTTTGCTCCTCAGTCTTTCTCATCAGGATCCACTCAGGGTTTTCTCCGCTTACTCTAAGTATTTCATCCATATTCAAGACCCCGTGTGGTAATGACCCAGCCTCAAAAATTTTAATATTACCATTTACTTTTCATATTTAGATGCATCATCACACCTCTGGCTCAAATAGAATTGTTGCCTCTAGCTCATTTTTTTCCCCATAAAAATTGTTCACAGGCCAGCTTTTTCTTCCATTCTTTCTTTTCTTTTTTTTTTCTTTGAGCACAAATGAATATTTGATTGTATTGTTGTCTTATCCTAATGGTTTGTGCTCTCTTTGCATTGAGTCTGGATTTGGTACCTATTAACTATGTCTTCCTACTCCCACCACATTCACATATTTGATTAGCATGTTTTCTCATTCTTCATCTAATTTTAATACAAATATGAAGAGAACATCTGATCAGCAGTCTAAGTTAAGATTGCCATGTTAGTTGGTGTACTTCAGATGTTTTTTAAACCTGTTACATATTTCATTAAGTTTCCGTTTGCTAGTAGATACTTCCTCATTTCGACCTCAAGGAAACTTACCTAATTATTGGTAAAAGCAAGATACATTTGTCTGTGTTTGGTGTGCTACTTTAGTAAACTTCAGAAAAAGGAAATTTCTTAGGGAAGATTTGTTTTTTAGCAGGACTTTGGTGCCATCAGCACATTTCTCATTTTGTTTTTTTTTTTTAATATGCATAATTGTTTATTTTAGTATGGAAGAGTCACAATCAAACTTCTCAGTTAAGGTTAGAATTTATCCTTTCCTTAGAAAAAAGAAAAAGACAGCAAACCAATTTCCTGTCTCTCCAGTCTTCCCCTTTGGGAAGATGACCGCAGTGCCTATGCTCTGTAGACTTTTTAGGCCCTGGAGGTGTAACTGTCACTTGGTGATTTGGGCTGCCTCGAGTTGGGGGTAAATGTTAGTGTCAGCCCCAGCGGTTTCTTTGCTTTTTCTTCCACCAAGAGGACACATGGTTATATTCATTCCTGTCATTTCTACAAATTTCAAAGTGACTAAAATCTTAGAGGGGTGGGTGAAAGTGGAAGAAATTAAAGATAAAGGAAAGCAAGAGAAAAACAGTTTTTCTGTGTGAAGTGAGATCAGTACTGAAGCTGAATTATAACACTAGAAAAATGTAAACGTTTCTAAGAAAAAAAGTTAATAAACTGCCCCATGTATTTGTTGGCTGTGAGATCTTGGAAGGAAGGCATGGTGCTTTACCCCACCCGGATCCTTTACCCCAACCGGATCTTCACATATCTTAAAGGAATAGGAACCATTTCCTCACCCCACTTTGCTTACATGAAGGCCTTTGTTTGGCAGATCATGATTGTCTCCCATCACAAGTACATATTAGCACAGTGCTACCTTTTTTTACATACATGCATCTGGGTGTGCAGGTGCCCCTGTAGCCCATGCCCTGCCTTCTCTGTCAGCAGCTCCATTTTTTTTTGCAGAGGGTAGCTGTCTTGTCTTTCAGCCTCCTTATAAGTTCTCACATGTTCTTTTGGCATCCTAGTCTAGCATCTGGTTATATTTACAGTTAAATTTTGTAAGAGTTAGCTTAATTCACCAAATGTTACTTGTTGCCTAAAGATGGGGAAGAGTTGTCTTTGGGGAGAAGCAAATAATTTTTCTCCTAAGGCCTCATCAGAACTGGCAGGAAAAAAACCTCAAGGATTGGTGGTATGTTTGTGGAGTAACATGACCCCGGAAGTGCTTGGAAATGGCTGAATGTGAAAACCAGACTGGTTTATTAAAGTCCGTTAGTTTCTACAACAGTAAGTCCAGTGAAGTGTGTTTAAATGGACCTCACCATTATCAACGTGATCTATTTAGAAAAGTTTTTAGAATTGTGAGATGAAAGCATTACTTTTAAATACCAAACTAGAAAGGGAGCCTAATTAAAGCATAGCTGGAAAAGTACATATTTACTTGGGCATGCTTGGGAAAATTTAAATAATAAGGAATTCTCTTTATAATTTGAGAGATGTAGAAATCACTTTATAGCATCATGCAGTTTTTTAGTTTCTTTGATTTTGTTTTCAAAGAGTGATTTAAGAAAATAATGATGACATCAATTTGCAAATGCTTCAAAGGATTATGTCATGTTTTTCATTCTTAGTGGGGTAAGCCTGAAAAGGCATGTTCATTAGAGTTTCGTAGGTTTTGTTATTTGAAATCACAGGCATAAGGTTAATCCAGTATGAATTGATGTTACTTAGTTGATGGTTGATGGCATATGTTTTATTTTGGGCTGTTTTCTTTTGAGGTTCTTTTGCAAGAGGCCAGTTTTTCACATTAATCATCTATTAAGGTATATTTACTAAGGGATTTCTTTTAGTTTTAATTGTCTCCCCTCCCTTAAATTAAGAACCTCTTCTGAGTATAG